AAATTGATGTATTTGTGCATAAACAGCAATCTGGGGTACACTTTTTTTGCTTGTTTAATTGATTTTTACATTGAAAGTTGATCTGTTTAATTGATGAGGAAATAAGAATTATTTTTTGCTTGTTTAATTGATATGTTCAAGTATATTTGTAAAAGTTGATTTGTTTAATTTGATGTGTAAATAATAATTATTTTTTTGCTTGTTTAATTAATTTGTAAAAGTTAATTTGTTGTTTTAAATTCAATCTGCATTATGTTGAAGGCAAAAAAAAAACCTGTTGAAGGTACAAATTCGCAACGCGAAGTCAAATTCGCGTTGCGATTTTCGGTTTACTATTTCGCGTTGCGAATTTGACTATCGCAATGCTTATTTCGCATTGCAAATTTGACTTTCGCGTTGAACGCAACATACAACATCAAGTTATAAATAACATCAAACACATTCCAAGCTATAAATACAAGCTAAGGACACTTGAAGAAGCAAGAGAACAACTATCCAAGCAATCAAACACAAGAGAAAATCCCAACATGATAACAACTGAACAGATCATAGCAATGTTCAAACTCAAGTTACTAATGAATGTCTAACTGAAAATGTATGCATTGACACATAAAAAACACATAATACAATGTTTGCATTTAAAAATCACCTAAGTTAATAAGTCCCAAAAGGTGAAGCCGGTTGTGATTGGGATTTTGATTTCCTTTTGCTTGGCACCATATGAGCTTTGGATTTTGATGAGGATCCATTTTTTGGTAGAGGAAAAGATGATTGTGATGGCACTGATGATCCACAGGTCAACCTTGTATGACCACTTTCCTTGCACCGACTACATGTCGATATCATATTCTCTTCACCCTTAGACGATATACGATCGTGATTTTTTGGTCGGTCAGGTAGTCTGCTGTCTATGACTGGTGGCAAAACTATTTGTAAGTCATCTGGTATGTCCTACTCAGAAGGATATGGACATGGGTAGATAATCTTGGCATAAGTCTGTCGATATACTTCTGTAGTGTAGCAATCCATAGCGTATGTGCTTGAATCATCTTGGTTTAGATGAAGAGCAACTTTTATAACATGGCCACATGGATAACCAGATGTTTGTCATTTCTTACAACTACACGTCTTTGCATTTAGATCGACAAGCCCATTTAAGTTATTATCCAATACTTCAAACAAAGTGTTTGAACATGGTTCAACTCTCCATAACGTTGACTTCACAACACGTTTCGTTATCTTTTTTTCAGTCCATGGTGTAACATGACGTTCCAATGTTCTTGTAAATTTAAATAAATAATACTTAGTAAAATATATGATAAGTTACGAATTTAAAGAAATAATACATGCATGGTTTCTTTTCTTGTGGTACCACTGTTGAATAGAGGCTCGAAAAAACTCCATTAACATAGTAATGGGTAATTTCCGGGAATGACGACTTAGAGCGTTGATTGATTCTGCACTATTGGACGTCATGAAACCATATCTTGCTCCAAGTTGATGTACTCTTGACCATCTTTCAAACCCAACATCTTCTAGTGTTTGAGCACATTGAGGCAAAACACGTCTTAAACAATTTATATGCTTATTAAAATCCACTTCCCGATAAGCTTTTATAGCCTTCCAGTATGTCCATTTGTGATTTTTTATACCAGCATACCTTGATTTTAGATTTCTGTACAAATGAACACCACAAAATCCATGAAAAGCATCTGGGAAACACCTTCTAACAGCGTTATCAATTGAGTTTTCCATATCAGATATGATTTTTAGATTGCTAATAGGACCTATGCAATCCCTAAGGTGCCCCATAAACCATGTCCATGAATCAGAGGTTTCAGATTTGCCAACCCCGTAAGCTATTGGCAGTATCCCATTGTTAGCATCCATGGCTACTGCTAATAAGTTTACTCCAAGGTATCGACCTTTCAAATGTACTCCGTCAACTCAACTATAATAATTGGGCGCATGCAAGTAATAAACGAACGAATCTACAAAATCATATACACAAGAAATATAATCATTTAAATGTGAAATGCATACAACTAATAAAAACGAGTCAACAAAATTATAATTATTTACTAACTGCAGCACCAATGGCAATAAACAACAACTCAAAGCGTCCATCTCTATCTATTTTGATATGAGTTACCGACCCAGGATTTTTCAGCTTTAAATTGTGACAATAAGCCGGCAGTTGGGCAAACGATGCTTCTGGCGACCCCCTCAACAATTCCAAGGCATAACATTTGGCTCTCCAAGCTCGAGAATATGAGATACTAATCTTGAATCGAGCATTCATGTCAGTCATAATTTCATGTCCCCGATATACCCTTCCATTCAAAAACATTAACTCAGCCAGAAAACCACCCAACACCTTTTTGTTTGCCTGTCTATGGTGAGGAAAAACTTGGGTTCTTGAACATATATGTTTATCAATAAAAGTCCTAACTTGAAACATTTCGCAATCTTTTATCCTCTTTGCAATCATACGCCACGTACAGTTTTTGTCAATCATACACTTTGTTTCGAAACGATCTTTGCTTGATTTGTTAACTTTTAGTTGATAGCCATCTTCCACACATTTCGTATACAAAGCTATCTTCAAGTCTTCCTTTGTATCAAAACAATCATCTTTCTTGATACGAATAACTTTTGTGTAACAATCAACTGCTATCTTTACCAACTCTTCTTCCGGTATCTAAAGTAATTATGGCATATTCCAGTTATACTCCCGTGGCATTTTCTTCTTTTTCTTTTCTTCGGGGACTTCTTCTTCTTCTTTTTTCTTCTTCAGGGTTATATGAATTACAGAATAGATGTTCAACATGTTCATTCATAGTCGTAACTTCCTCCTCATTATCATCAACAACATCTTCCTCGGCAGCGGCTGTTTCATCATCAAAATTCGGGTATTGACCAATATCAAAATCATTACATGCATGGTCTGTTTCTTATTCCATCACATCATCAAAATCCGAGTATTGACCAAGATCAAAGTCTGGGTATTGACCAAGATCAAATTTCGAATACTGACTAGTACTCACAATTTTTTCTGTTGGCTCATAATCGTCTAACTAGTCAATACGAAAACCGGGATTTGGTGCTGAAAGTTGATTGGGATTTGGATTAGGAAAATGTTGTGGGTTTTGAGATTGTGTTTGATATTGTGTTTGGTATTGGAAATGTGGTGAAACAAAATTTTCTTGGTGATGAAATTGTGGTGGAACCATTAAATTTTGAGGTTGATAACAACGTTGTACATTGTGAGCACTATAAACTGGGGTTGAAGAACTTAGTTGATTACTACCCGCTACTGACCCAACTTCACTACTTCTAGGTTCAACAACATACAATGTAATATCATCTTCTTGCGAAACACTAATGTAAGCAATGAATCGTTCAACATCTTCATTGTCGGTTAACAAATAAACTTTACCTTTTCTCTGATAAGATAACCTAAATCCACTTAGAGGCTCTAAATTCAATTTCTTTGCAACACATAACATTAGAGTTTCATAAGTTAACTTTTTTAATGACAGTTTTAGTTGAAGATTCATGGGTAAAGGCACATATTGTAAAACACTATGAACATTCTCCCATGACCCTCCAAAACACAAATCTATCCAAACATGATCAACATTAGATGATTTCATTCTACAAATTGTAAATTAATTTACTAAACAAACGAGCTATAAACTAGATATCATCACTAACTTAGAGAAAAACATACCTTTATTAAGTTGATAGTTGATAATTTGGGAGAGAAATCATTGAAAAATATATAGAAATAAAATTATGTAAAAAAAATTAGAGATGGGGAAGGATGTCGTTGGATATAGGAACAGATGTCGCTGGAGAGAGTGATAGATGAAGATGGAATGAGTTGCGATTTAGGGATTTAGGTTATGAGTTGTTGCTGATGCGTTGTTATATACCTAAAACATTTGTGTTGCGAAACTAAAATCTGTTGCGAAATTAAATTCGTGTTGCGAATTCAAAAATCTAGTTGCGAATTTGAAATTTCGCGTTGCGAATTTGACTATCGCGTTGCGAATTTAACTTATGTGTTGCGATTTACAAATTCGCGTTACGATTTACAGATTCGCATTGCGAATTTGACAATCGCGTTGCGAATTTGACTTTTGTGTTGCGAATTTGACTATCGCGTTGCGAATTTGACTTATGTGTTGCGATTTACATATTCGCGTTGCGAAATTAGAAACTGTGTTGCAAAATTGGAGTTCGTGTTGCGAATTTGTTGCGAATTTGTTGGTCATTTTGGCAAATCCAAAAAAAATTGGTTAAAATCGTATATTATAAGACATTTTCGGTCACTGAGGTTATTTTCTCTTAATTTAATTAACCACTTTTAACTGTTCTTTATATTCATATATAAAAACATATTTAATTTAATTTATTCATACTATAAAATATGATCGTAGGACAAAAGAGTTAAAAATCTAATTAAATGATTTAAGAAAATAAAAAATACATATAAATATCATTGTGGTGTGCTGATAATGAATGATAAATATCGTCAGTATTAACATAATAATAGAACATGATAATATATTGATAACTGACTTTCAAGTGCATTATATCTAAATAAGAGAACCAATTCAAAAAATTTAAAATAAGATAGATTAACAAAATAATCAAATAACCAAGGACAAAAATATTATAATTTCACTTTAAACTCGCACAAAAAATACACCTTTTTATCCTGGTTGGGCCAGCTTAATTCGACCCACAAATAAATTACTTTTTGATTCTAAAGTCCATTAACCATAGTTAAATGTGATTATGGGCATACAAGTTAGCCCATGTAAACCCATTGGCAATCGAAGCCATATAACGTATTGAAAACCAGACTCTTCTTTTGGGTTCGAAAATCCTCTGCCCAGAAGGCCAACTGATTAAGACCCAACAAATGAAACAGTGCTATATATATATATATCTCTAGATATACATAGATATTAGTTTTTGGTATACGGCAAAGTGCCTCCATTGCTTGTTCGCTCTCACTCTCTTAAGCACCCCTCTTGCAGTTAGGTCTCGGCACCTGCAAACAGCTTCTCCGCCTCACTGTAAGTCTTCATAAGCTAAGCAACTTCCATCTGTTCTGGACTTTCTTTTTAAGTTTTTCATCGTTCCAATACTTTGATTGTATCTGTCCTTTTCGTTATTATTATCGTTGGGAAAAATTCCAACTTGAGTTGTACCATGCTTGCTTTATTCCTTTGTTCTCGTTTTCCTCATTTTGTATGAGACGTGAATTAATCATGACTTTAGATTTTAAAACTATTGATTCTGCTGAAAACTTATTGACACTTTTTTTTTTTTTGCATTAGGAAAGCATTGAGGAAAGTACAGTTTCTTTTCTGGTTTCTGAAAAGTAAGTTACTTCTTAAGAGGATATAACCGTATAAGAGGTTCTGGAATTAAAGGAAAATGGGGAAGAAGGCAAAGAAAGAAAGGGATGGTTATAAAAAGGATGCATCCAGGTCCGCCACTGATGAGACTGGAAAATTTAAGAGATCTTTCATGTATCACAATAATTCAGATTCACAAGCACCGCTTATCAGGTATTATTACTCTTTTGATCCAAGTTGGAAACTATAACTTGTTTAATTTGTGTCAGGAATGCTATAACAGATTTCACTACCCTTTTAGGAAACAGGTGGAGCCTGAAACAGCAAAATACTTTTCGGAGATTGCAGACCTTTTTGAAAGCCAAGGAGTAGATGTGGAGGAACGGTCGGTTATATGTGGTAATGCTCTTGAAGAAGCTAGGGGGAAGGAATTAGAACTAGCAACAGATTATATCATAAGTAATACTCTTGAGACTCTACTCGATGGCTGTAATGTGGACAATCTTTGTAGTTTTCTTCAAGGCTGTGCGAACGTCTTTCCTGCTATTGCAATGGATAGATCTGGTTCTCATGTTGCTGAGACAGCTTTTAAGTCATTAGCCAGGCATGTTCAGGACACAGAGGCATACACCATAATTGAAGAGACTCTGGAAATGATATGCAAGGTATCAAGTATTTGGTTTTGTACTCTTGTGGCTAATGAAACAAATTCTGCTATGTATTCTTGTTGTGGCACTTCGCATACCCTTTCTTTTAATGAATTATCACAGCTTCAAAAAAATTCGGGAGTATATATTTGAAGGCAGACTATGATCGAATGGTAATTTTTTCTACTTTTCCCTGAATGTTCCATTGATCTTTTTCAGGTGATTGTTGTCAACCCTGTTGATCTAATGTGCAACTGCTATGGATCTCATGTTCTTCGAAGCTTTCTCTGTCTCTGTAAAGGAGTACCACTGGACTCCTCGGAGTTTCATGGAACCAAGGGATCAAAAGCACTAGCGGAGAGGTTAAATTTCAAAGTGTCTCACTTAGATGGGAATGATTCCTGGCAATTTCAGCAAGGATTTCCAAATTTATTGAAACTCCTTGTATCTGGGATGGTAAACTGTACAATGGAAGACATGAAAAGCATACTACTTGATCAGTATAGCAGTTTAGTTCTGCAGGCATGTCTTTAATTTTTCCTGTTTTTTAATTTTATTTCATTTGTCAGTTAGTTAAGCAAAAGCAGTCTGTATGTGGTTCTGTTGCCTTATGGATTTTGGCATTAGTGACTACCATATTCAGATATGTATTAAGATATTTCATCTGTTATAGGACTATGCAGTCATGTTTTGAGTTGTCAAAGATGCAATAATCCCCAGATTTATTAGTTATTGGAACTTCATTATTTCTATTATATATCATGCACACTTTTCATTTTTGAAGTAGCTTCTCTTGTAATTGTGCTTGTAGACTCTGACAAACCCATCTCTATCACATAAGATTATTTAATTATTTTTTTAAGGGTACATCGATCATTATAATTTAGGAGATGGCTTGATGGGTGTTTTAGCTTTTTTTTTTACGAGTTTTTAAGTCTTCTACTTTTCCTTACTGACTTTTCTCCTTTTTGAAACGAGGAGTTAATGTCATGAATTAGTTTATCACTGACCTCTTCACTTCTTTCTTGACAGACAGCTTTGAAGTTATTAGCTGGGGATGATCAAGAATTACTGCAAATGATTCCAGTTATTCTTGGTTGCAACAAGCTAGATTTAGTGAAGGGAAAGTTCATTGACACGATCATTGTTGGTGAAACTGTAGAAGCAATGAAGGAAACTGCATTTAGTCATCTAATGGAAGTAAGCAACTTTTAAAAGAATTATATTTTATATATGTATTATATATATATTTATACTTCGTGACATGAATTTCCCCCCTTTTTTGTTTGTTTCATAATCTTGTTCATTGCTCTCTATGCTTGAGGTTTTATTGCATTTGTAATTGAATCGATGTCATAAAAAATCACTTTGGAAGGAAGCCACTTGATTAGATTGTCAAGGATATGAGCCCAAATAGCAATGCCATTAAACCTATTCTTAAAGAAATAAACATAAAAATTTGCACCTAATTTCCTTCATAGCCTTGTGCTTATATTATTCATGAATATCTTAAACTCATCCTTAACTTATTTATTGTTACCGAATATGCCCCAGAAGATGTTTTCTGTTGATAATTGTCAGGTTACAGGGTCAACTTTAGTAGTTAGAACCATCTTGACACTTTTCTGGATGAATGAACCTTTCCTTTTCTTTAAGTTGAATTCCCTTAATTACTGACAAAGTGAGTTGGCTGTGAGGTGAATCTTTTCCTCATTTCCACTATAATAATTTCACCTTAAGTTTCAAGAGCTGCTGCAACTTTGATGTCTATTATCCTAAAACTAAATAAAAAATAAAACAAGGACAGAGCAGTTGATTCTTTTACCTCTTTCATATCCTTTGTATGCTGCAGTTAAATCATCTAGTTTCTGCACTTTCTCTTTTGTTTATTCTTTGGGCTAGCTTCATTTTCTACAAAATGCAGGTAATTTTGGAAGTTGCACCTGAAAGCCTCTATAATGATATGTTCACAAAGCTTTTGAAGAATTCATTGTTTGAGCTTTCATCCCATCATTGTGGAAACTTTGTTGTGCAAGCGTTAATTTCCCATGCAAGAACTAAAGATCAAGTACGTATTTCAACATTCTACTATAGATAAAAGCTTGTAATCTTTGTATGCTTGAGAAGATTCAATTCATTCAAAGCTATACTTATCTCCTGAAATGATTTGATGTACTTCAGTGGATACTAGTGTTCCATCAGTGAAATTTTGTTATTTGTATTTATGTGCTCATTGTTTTATTCGGCTGCTGTTTAATTCTACAGTTTAAGAAAGCTACTTCTGGTGCTGGATGTCTTGCTAAGCTCCACTGTTCTGAGATTTGAAAAATTTTCTTTGTTTTGATTATTAGATTGAGATGATCTGGGAAGAGCTTGGGTTGAAATTTGCGGATCTTCTCGAAATGGGGAGATCAGGAATTATTGCATCTCTTATTGCTGCATGTCAAAGGCTTCAAACTCATGAATATAAGGTTCAGTGGTTAGATTCATTCCTTTAATGCTTGCTCTTTAAAGTCAGTCCCTATACATGTGATTCTGAAACAGCTTGTGGTAATAACTTCTAAATCGAAATTATATCATACTAAAAGTTCACTTTTATGTCGATATCTTGTCCCAGCCCTTCATTAATTTACATTTCCCCCCCTCAGTGTTGCGAGGCTCTTACTACTGCTGTTGGCTCAAAAGAAGAGAATTCCAAGTTCATTGTTCCTCGCATACTGTTCCTCGACAGTTACTTCAGCCATCATGACAAGTCTTGTTGGAACTGGCCTGTTGGTGCTAAGATTCATGTCATGGGTTCTTTGATTCTGCAGGCTATTTTTAAATTCCAAACTGTATGTTTCTTTACTTGAACATGTTATATCATTTTGATTCTACCCAATTAGATTATGGGCCTCAGTTTTGTTCATGCACTATCAGCAAGTTTTCAGCCACTTTTGCTTGTATTAACTAAAGTGAATGCCTCTGTGCATGTGCTTTAGCGTATCGAGTATCAAGCTTCTGATTAAGATGCCTGTTTAGTATGGTAATGCAATATTTAAGCTTTGAGATTGAGGTTAGTGCAGCAAATTAAGCTTGAAGGTTTTAGTTAGTGAAGCAAATATTTAAGCATCGGTGCAGAAGATTATTTACAGAGCTGATAGCCTGATACTTGAGCATATTTGATAATCTTTAAAGCAAGTCTTTTGAAAGGTGAAATGCCAGATAATTGACTGATTAAATATCTTGGGAGGCAATCCTGAATTGTGATTATTTTTCCCCTGAAAATTCTCAATGGTAAACCAGTATCCTATATGCTGTTGTTTTCAGTTTGATCATATGCAATGTGCAGGATTTGCTATTTAGATATATGGTCTGGCATTACAGAGCAGAGATATGGTACCTTAGTTATGCTCAGTTTGTCTGTATATTGATTGTTTTGGAACTCGTCAATTCTCTACGATGTTTGCTTGACTACCTAAAACAAAAGTGTGGATAGTTGGCTTTCTAATTTTGCTATGCAATCTACTGCTTCTTGGTTACAGGAATGGGTACAGCCTTATGTTTTGAGTATTACATCCATGGGAACTGAGCATGTCCTTGAGGCAGCTAAAGATGCTCGAGGAGCACGAGTTATTGAAGCATTTCTTGCTTCAGATGCTTCCACAAAACAGAAGCGTAGATTAGTTGTGAAGTAAGTCAAAATGCTGCATTGGCATTTTTATTTGAGTTTTATTTCTCCCAGGAAGTTCTTATCTGTCCTTGTTTCATTTGGTCCATGGTGAAATGTGATACCAATGGAACTTGTCTGCACAAAAGTAATGGCCTTTGTTTGAACTTTTTGGTCTGGCTTTTTCTCCATATGGAATAATATCTTCTACTCTCCTGTGGTCCCATATCAAACTGTTATTTTGTTGCATGGTTAAATATATGAGTCAATTTCTGCTAATATTTACTTTACGCCGTTTGTTTGCTGTTAAATATGAAGGTTACGTGGACATTTTGGGGTGCTTGCGATGCAGCTCTCTGGATCATTTACGGTTGAAAAGTGCTTCAGTGCTGGTGGCCTGTCACAGAAGGAATCCATAGCATCTGAACTGTTAGCTGTTAGAGCTGAACTCTCCAAAACAAAACAAGGCCCCCATCTACTAAGGAAATTAGATATTGACAGGTATGTAAGTTGCAGTCTGCTGGTTTGGTAATCAAGGTTTAATTCTTGTGTTATGTCGCCGGCTAAATTGCAATGCATGTCAAAGCTTAGTCTAGTTTGGACCGAAGTTTGATAGGAACAACAAACTCAAGTTTCAATTGCTTGTTGCAGTTTGTCTTATATTTATGGTTTGTTTCTTCACCTTCGCTTTGTCATGGCAGATACTCTACCAACCCTGATCAGTGGAGGTCAAAACAAACATCAAAAGAATCAGCTTACAATGAATTCTATGCTGCATTTGGCCCTACTGTATCCAAATCAACAAAAAACAACAAGTTCCTTTCTGATGCATCTATGGACACATCAGAGCTCGAAGAATTGAGCACGAAGAAAGAGAGAGACAGTTCACTCACTTCTACGTCCATGCTTGATGATACCTCGGCAGATAAGAAAATGAAAAAGAAGAGAAAAAGAGAGGGGGCCTCTGAAGATGCTGTCAGCTCTAACAAAGCGGTTGAAAGGGCTGTACAAAATTTTCTCTCTTCTGGTCAACCAGATAAGAGACGACACGGAGCTTCGAAACAGAGACTGAAAATTTGAGGTTCAGGATGCTCTGCCTTTTTTGCTGACGATTTTGGTAGCTGTCTTGAGGTAGTCATTTGCGTTTGTTTCATTCTCCGGGTTGAGATAAATTTCGGGTGTGCCAAACGTTTTTGTTGAGTAGAAACATAATCCTTCCTGGAAAAGTCACAAAACTATTTTTGTATCCAGTTATTATACCGAAATATTGCAGTTTAACAATAGAAATTGACGGATTATGGTAGCACAACTGTTAATTGCATTTCCTTTTACTAATTGTTGCTTAAGCTATTATCGGTGTAACAAGAAATTATTAAATATTTTATTTTTTATCTATTTTTCTTTTTAAAATTTCGTTCACTAACATAAAATTTTAATCGTCTCTAGTGACCATGCAGGTGCCTTCATCGTCCTATCCACCTGTCTATCTAGTGGCATGGTAGGGTGTTTCTTTTTCGATTTTAACTGAATTAATTGATCGAACTGAATTAGTTTAATTAAAATGGTCGGTTATCGAATTAGTTTGATTGGAGAATGGTTAATTTTTTTTCAATATTCAATTAACAGTTAATTCCATTCAAAATCGATTAATTAACCGAAAATATTAAATATTATATATATATATATATATATTAAATACATATTTTAAGTTTAAATCTATTAAAAATTATGACCTATTTATTTTTCAATCACTCAATATATATATATATATAATGTCACCCACGAAATTAATTGAATTTTATCTGATTCGGTTAAAATTTTAAAAAAGAGTTCAATTTGATTAATAGTTAAAAAAATAGTTTGATTAATTCAATTAATGAAAATTCAGTTCATTCGATAATCGTATTAGCTGTTTGAACAAATGACGGAAGATTTGACATGGGCCTTCTGCTTTAGATTCGCCAATAAAACTTGCGGACAACTTACACCATCCTCCAAGCTAAATGCAGAGGACGAGCAGATAATTGAAATGGATTTTCAGCACTCTACAATAGTTCTGATGTACAAAAACTAATAAAGGTAAATAATACGTAAAAAAAAAGAACAATTCTCTGAAAAGGGTTTCTTAACCCAAAGCATTATATGATTGCTGCACGAATAATAATTTGGTGATGAATTGAATTAATAACTTAACTGCAGAAAAAAATCCAAACTAAAACAAAGTCTTCACCAAGAGAAGAAACTGTTTTTGATCCATATTCTTTTACGGGATAAAAGATTCCCCATCCTCTTCATAAACATCTTGTGCAATAGTTTCAATGCTTCAAAATGCCTAATGCAATTGGTTTCCAAGAGACCAACACAATTCTCTAGGAATGGTGGACTTGATTCCAATTTGATAATCTCCAGCCATTTCTGATACTCAAACCTATCTAATTCTAACTTCAAACATCGATGGAACCATTGGTTCCTGAACCACTTGGGACCATCCTTTTTTCCCTGCTTAAACGCCTTTTCAAAGACCTCAATCTTGTCGGCATTGGTGACTTTGATTCCTCCTCCGGAAAATTTTCGTTCGCATTCATTGGAACATTAATCACCAGCATGCCTTCTTGCCTGCCACTACCGGATGCCATTGATGACGAAGCAAAAGCTGCAGATGAGGCCGAGGCCAAAGCAGATGCAGATGAACCCTCTTCCAAGTTGGCACCGCCGCTGCTAACCTGGCCTTGATGATTACCCCAAAACAACACATTTGTAGGGAAAGTAGGAGAATCTGTGGAATACCCAGAAGCCAAACCATCATCATGTGGAGACTGAATATGACCAATGTTAACTTCATCTCCTGACATGGCAGAACTTGGGTTCTCACCCTCAACAGCAACAACAGAGTTCCTACAAAGAGGACAAGTTGAGTGTGACTTAAACCACATGTCAACGCACTCAACGTGGAATCCATGGTTGCATTTTGGAAGCAGCCTCGCTTTCTCTCCTTCTACTACCTCGCACAAGCAAACCGCGCATTCGAGCCCTTCTTTGAACTCTTCTTGGCTGTATATTAAAACGGGAAGGGAAGCGAGGATTGTGGGATCAAGGCCTTTTGTTGCACGCAGAGGATGAGCAGTGTCTTGTCCCGGAGCAAACACGAAACGACGTCGGCGGCGTGAAGAAGACTGGGGAGTTGGTTCTTCGACGCTCCACCAGAACCATTTAGCATAAAGATGAAGAAAAAGCACAAAAACCACCACTAAGAAGAGAATTATTATGGCGATGACCATGATCTTCCCTGTTATTGCCACTGCTCTTGATTCATCTGAGTCGGGTTCCATGACTTGCAAAAAGAAGGGGAAGAAAAAAGCTTTTTAACTTCTTAGCAAATGAGAGCAAATAAGATACAACTACATAAAAAAACAGTGAAGAATTGCAGAATCAATGAGGAAAATGAGAGATAACCAAACGGGATTTTTAAGAAATATTTCGTCAGAAAAAAAGAAAGAATAGCTCTCTATTATCTTATGTTCAACGACAAGAGTCCAAAATTGCAGAAATCAACTGGGATTTTGTTTCTGAACAGAGGAAACCCAGATAGGAAAAGTTATAAAGTTTGTTAACCAAAACTGGGATTTAACGAGTAAAGAAAGTAATGAAAATAATATAGAAAAATGGAAGAAATTAAGGAAACCACAGATCATAAAATGGGGCACTAAATACTTAAACCAAGATAGGGCAATAAAATGCAACTTGGAAAGGTGGGTTTAAAAAGGATAAAGGAAAATGTAGATACAAGTTGGAAGAGAATTCAAAGAAGGGATCCCCCCAGAGAAAACGTCCACTTTGAGGACTCTTACGATGCTGAAAGAATCAAAAAAAAAAAAAAGAGAGACTTTTTGGACTTTGCCTTTGAAAGAAATGTTGGACACAGAGCGCTGAGTTGAAACAAGCGAAGAAGATGACGCATCTATGGTCCAACTCTATGACTCTTGTTAATGTTTAGCATGAGGGACTTGCACTTGCATAGGAGACTGCCTCTGCATGGTGGGTAGTTCTCCTGTGCGGCGCCTAAAAAACGGGCGTGACCGATTAAATAAGTGTCCGGTTAAAATTTATACTGGTTATGTTATATTATTTAACCGGAAATATTATAAAGTACAATAACATACTAGGTAGCGCTTATATAATGTAATAGGTAGTGCTTATATTTACCTATTTTATAAGTAAACCGGTATATTTATACCGATAGTATTGCAAATTTACCTATTACATTATATTATATTAAAAGTGTCCATACTTTTTATAAAAAGGATCGATACTTCTTTTAAAGTTATGTAATTTATGTTTCAATTTTTTTAATAGCGTTTCATGTTTTCCACCTACAATATTAATTTAATAATTTCATTTGCACAAAAAATTATTTGATTATTTGATATTTTATAAAATATTATTTAGAATTTTTAATTTAATAATAATATATATCGTAACGTAAAAAATAAATCATTAGACGCCTATAATTACTAAATTAAAATCTTAAAACTCACTCAAAAGATAACCTTAAATTAATGTTTTCCACAGTGAAAAAAGTATGGACACTTTTATAAAAAGGATAGACACTTTACAATATAACCACTACCTATTACATTATATAAACGATACTTATTACATTATATAAGCGCTACCTATTACATCATATTTTTACCTATTATATTGAAAGTGTCCATACTTTTTATAAAAAGGATCTATACTTCTTTTAAAGTTATGTAATTTATGTTTCAATTTTTTTAATAGTGTTTCATGTTTTCCACCTACAATATTAATTTAATAATTTCATTTGCACAAAAAATTATTTGATTATTTGATATTTTATAAAATATTATTTAGAATTTTTAATTTAACAACATTAACCAAAGATAATAATAAATATGTAATATATATATGTTTATTGTTTTTAATTTAATAATAATATATACAACATCAAACACATTCCAAGCTATAAATTACAAGCTAAGGACACTTGAAGAAGCAAGAGAACAACTATCCAAGCAATCAAAAACGAGAAAATCCCAACATGATAACAACTGAACATATCATATCAATGTTCAAACTCAAGTTGTAGATTTTGATTTCCTTTTGCTTGGCACCATATGAGCTTTGGATTTTGATGAGCATCGGAAGTATTTCAGACTTATGATTTGGGTGGTACTCAGAAGCATTTCGGACTTAGATTTTAGTTGATATTTGTTTACCACCCAGATCATACGCCCGAAACGTTTCTGACGCTTTAAAGTTGACCAAAAAATACAATGGTCTGGATTTCCCTCGCGTTTAAACGTTAGAAAAAAACAATGGAAATTAGGAATAATCAATGATAACATGCATATTGGCTTGGGCTAATATTTATAGTGGAGCCGAAATATATATTGAAATTCAAACTCAAATTGAAATTTAAATTCAAACTCCAATTACATATGAAATGAATTTGAAAAGCAGTGTTAAATTGAACATGAAAATTGCATAATTGATTCATACTGTTCAAGTAACATGCTTTATGAACCATCAAGCTAAAAGACAATATTGATTGAGTTCAAAGCTGAGTTGTGAGTTGATGGAGTTGTCACACTTGTCACATGGTTGGAATAAAGTAATTTGATGTAATAATTTTATTTGCACAAAAAATTATTTGATTGTTTTGATATTTTATAAAATAATATTTAGAATTTTTAATTTAATAATAATATATATCGTAACGTAAAAAATAAATCATTAGACGTCTATAATTACTAAATTAATATCTTAAAACTCACTCAAAAGATAACCTTAAATTAATGTTTTCCACAGTGAAAAAAGTATGAACACTTTTATAAAAAGGATAGATACTTTACAATATATAAACGATACCTATTACATTATATAAGCGCTACCTATTACATTATAAAAACGATACCTATTACATTATATAAGCACTACCTATTACATTATATAAACGATACCTATTACATTATATAAGCGCTACCTATTACATCATATGTTTACCTATTATATTGAAAGTGTCCATACTTTTTATAAAAATGATCGATACTTTTTTTAAAAGTTATGTAATTTATGTTTCAATTTTTTTAACAGTGTTTCATGTTTTCCACCTACAATATTAATTTAATAATTTCATTTACACAAAAAATTATTTGATTGTTTTGATATTTTATAAAATAATATTTATAATTTAAATTTAACAACATTAACCAAAGATAATAATAAATATGTAATATATATGTTTATTGTTTTTAATTTAATAATAATATATACCGTAACGTAAAAAATAAATCATTAGACTCCTATAATTACTAAATTAATATCTTAAAACTCACTCAAAAGATGTATATGAATATGTAGTTAACAAACATACCTAAATATGTAGTTATTGTACATACCTAAATTTAATGATAATATATACTTGTAGTTATTGTACATACCTAAATATGTACTGCGAATTTAATGTTGTACCCACCCTTTAACTACCACTACCAATGCCACATCATAGTGAAAGCAGCACGACTGAAACATGTTCAAAATGAACCTTTGCTTACATCTCCATCAACTCCTGGAGCACTGAACTTGCACAACAAAATTTTTGCCATGTATAATACTGATGTAGACAATGTTAAGCCAACCGAGGAATGCCATGAAGTACATAATGTTGATGAATCTGACAGATTGGTTGGTCAGCTCTTCTGTTCACGTGATCAAGCTTGGCACTTTTACAAGGGATTCGCACGGGAACATGGGTTTAGTGCACGTAAGGGAACAACACGGCTTGACGTGGAAGGGAATGTGAAGACACAAGAATTTTGTTGTTCCAAAGAAGGGTTTCGAGTATCAAAAGTCAATACTGTTGATCGCCAACGTGCTCATACGCCAGTCACAAGAACATGATGTAAGGCTAGAGTCGTAGTTACAGCAACAAATACAAACGATCAATGGGTTATAAGTAAGTCTGATCAGAAACATAATCATGCATTGTGCACATCTGCTATGACACCATTTATGCGTTCTAATAGAGCTGTAAGTAAGGCTGATATCGATGAGGCAACAACATTGAAAGAGGTCGGTGTTGGCACGTCACAAGTAATGAACTATTTAACGCAGCAGGCAGGGGGCTATCATAATGTTGGATTTACACATAAAGACCTCTACAATGCACTTCAAAGAGGTAAAGCAAAGGAAATCGTCGATGGGGATGTGAATGCGCTTATTGCCTACAATGCGTTTCTTATTATAAGAATCTAATATTTTAATCTGCATTAAAATAGAAGAAGTTATGCACCAAAAAAATTATGCATTATAATTTACATAATGTCCTTTCATACATACATACATACATACCAATCTCTTAGCATCCTTCACTCTCTGTTTAGCTGCTTCAGTTGTAAACATACTATCATATATTGTTACAACATGATCTACCATATCCAACACCAACAGATACCAATGTGAATTATGGTAGTTTATTGTGATCATGATCTGCAACAAATTTCACACCCAATTTGACAAAATTCAACATTCTATATCCGAAAACATCATTTGCAATTGGTATGGTGTCTTACCTTCTCACAGTCGGTGAATTTCACATAGTTATCCAATATGACACCCCAGAAGGTAGAAATACTCTCAACACTTTCTTTGTTGTTGGCATCCAACGCCTGTTGCTGTAATTACGCAACAAACATTATTAATTTACCGTCTATAACACTACTTTTCAATATTTATTAATTTAACTCACCACTAAGAGGTATGGAAGGTAGCCAATCCTCCGGAGTGACTTTTGAGAATCGTAGCATATGGTCCAGGCGAGCAAATCGATAACCTAACAAAATTAATTACACAATCAGAACATATTCAATAAGTTTTAACATTTTCTACTTTCTACTTACCACACCGCCAACCCATTCCGTAGGCTTCAACGTTGCAACGTCGTATACAGTAGCGAATTGATTTCCTATTGAGATTACAGAATATCTGTATGAATCATTAGGATTAATATGTTGTCATGAAATATTTAAATATCACTCACAAAACAATATATTTCACTTACCCCGATTCTAACTCGCTATTCCATAAATAATCACAAATTGCAGCTTCGATGTCATCAATTCCGCTTGGAATATCCGCTTTTTCAACCTACAATTTTGCATACAAATTTTTGTCACAACAACATAATAAAAATCAAATTAAGTATTCTTTTATTAAACTTACCTTCTGCTTCTTCTTCTGGGGTGCAGGACATTCCGAATCCAAAACTGCTACTATAACACTCTCCGATGTATAAATGACATCGACTTCCTTCCTCCTCATTTCTTCCATCTCTTCTTCTTCCTCCTCCCTCTTTTCTTCTTCATA